AGTATACCATATCCCTCAATACCAATTCGTATCCAGAAATTTTTCAATTGACCTACAGCTTCAACAGCTTTTTCAGGGAGGGATAGAGTATCAGATATTCACCACTCTCAGTGTGAGATGATGCTGCTTAAAAACACCACTGAATGGTCTTCTTTAACGTTGATGGGTCAGAAAAACGCATGCTGTTCCTTGTTAGCCAATTTCAATACATGTTTTATTCAGTACCCACTGGTGCAAGGCTCTGTATTGTTAAGTGTGATTATGAACATTCTGGAAGAGATCTTGAGGCTGGTTGATTTTTTTTCCCGCTGAGATTGTAAGCAGTAGGCGAACTATGATTGACGGTGCAAAACACTCAAGTAGATTGACTTTATGCTTGTTTACATCAATGTTGCAATGGTTTAAAACAGCAGCTTTTCTATAAAGATATTGTTCCTTAGAGGTCTTCTGAAGCAACCAAACGATCTGGGGAATCAAAGGGAATAATTTGTGCCAATTTTCCAGACCCTGGGTGCCCTTAGACCCAAAAAGGTTATGCACAGCACAGTTAATTTTTGGGAGAAACTCTCACAGAATGAGATACTCGCATGGGTATTATTGTGTACAGCCACCAAAAGTATGCAGACAGATTACAGCATCATTCAGTGTGAAATGCTGATTTGATGTTGGCACTGCCACTTTAGAGCTCAGTGCCTTCCACCCTGCATAGCTGAAGGCACATTCAGAAACAGGAAGACTCTCCAACTATCAACTACTTTTTGGTGGATTTCATCTGGCTGAGGCTTTGAATCTACAAGCATTTGGTATAATTGGTTAAAATTACAAAACTGGTGCAGCAGGTACTGAAGGAGTTTTTGCTGGCTTCATGACTCCTACGCTAAGCAGTTGCTTATAGGCACAGAAACATACGTAACCATTGCCCTTGCAATACAGCATGACTTGGAAATGAGACAAACTGCAGGAAGAGGGAGAAGAGTTCACAGCAGTGTGCTGCAGTCCACCCAAGGTGTTGAGGGAATCACTATCTCTGTATCTGAGGTTCAGTGAGGAATAATGTTGAGATTTCTGAGTTGCAGTACACACGTCCTCACTGAAATCTGTCATCTGCTGCAATACAACTATATCGCATTTCTCATAGTCGCATGGATTTCATTCCATGCTGTCAGCACATCATCCTTGATGTCCAGGGGCCACCCTTTGCTTTGCCAGGGCAACCACAGGATCCCTACATTGTGGGAGCAGACCATTCGGCCCATCAAGTTCACACTAACTCTCAAGAGCACCACACCCAGACCCACCCTAACCCTCTAACCCTGCACTTCCCCTGGCTAACCCACCTATAACCCAACTATAACCTCACAACAGTGCAAGGATCACTTTCACACTGTCACGTTCATAACCCTTTCATGCATCTGACACCTTTCAGGCTAGCATTGCAAGGAATTACAACATTTCACAGTTTACTGTCCCCTGTTGTGTAACAAAGGTCACGGAGGTTCTCTATGCAATGGTAGCTGAATACATTTCATTCCCTCTACTCAGAAAGCAGCAAGTAAAGTGCAAATGCAGCGTTGGTGGTTGGTGCAATAGGTAGGGTGACAAGCAAATCACTTTCTGGAGTTTGCATATCAAGACTCCCCTCCAGCAGAAATGAAAGGGATCTGACTCTTTCAACATCCAGCTAGTGTGTGACCACATACCTATAACCATACAGGTCAATGCCCAGTACGTTGGCAGCAGCTACGATGGGTTTGTTGTGCAGCAGTCTGTGGTACAGTTTGGGCAGCACAGTGGCTCAATAGTTAGTACTGCTACCTTACAGTGCCAGGGGCCCAGGTTCGATTCCAGCCTTGGGCAACTGTCTGTGCAGCGTTCACACATTCTCCCCATGTCTGTGTGGGTGTCTTCAGGGTGCTCTAGTTTCCTCCCACAGTCCAAAGAAGTGCAGGTTAGGTAGACTGGCCGTGCTAAATTGCCCATTGTATCCAGGGATGTGCAGGCTAGGTGGTTTAGCCAGGGGAAGTGCAGGGTTAGAGTGGGTCTGGGGTTGGTGCTCTTGAGAGTTAGTGTGAGCTTGATGGGCCGAATGGTCTGCTCCACAATGTAGGGGTCCTATGGTTGCCATGGCAAAGCAAAGGGTGGCCACTGGACATCAAGGATGATGTGCTGACAGCATGGAATGAAATCCATATGACTGTGAGAAATGTGATGAAGTGGGCGATTGAGGAAGAGCAGAAGCAGCAGCTCCAACATGTCTAGTGAGAGGATTTTTTTCAGTCGGAGTTGTTTCTCTGTTGCTAAAAAGCTGAGATGCACACCCCATCTCAATGTTGGCGACAGCAGGCTGACAGTCACCAGCAAGAGTACTGCTGGAGTGCTGTGGTGAGAGGATAAATGCTGTCTTCCCGAGGGAGAACAGCAAATCAGTACTTCTTGGAGCTGCTACCACTGCCCCCAGAGTGGTGCCTCAGCAATCCTAATAATCTGCTGCAACACAGATTGCTGGACTGCTGTGGGAGATTACAGGCCCCTTTGCATAATGCAATCCACAGGCATGAAGGCAGCTGTCTGAGCTTCATGACAGCTATCTGAATCTCCACTGCAGCATTCCAGTGTTTGCTGGCTGCTGTTTGGGCTGCAATGGAAGCTATAACATTAATCATCAGACTCTGTACCATGTTTAGATTCTCCAGGTGCACAAGGCCCAGTTGGCCACAACTCCCATGGTGGAAAGGACGGGTTCCAAGCTCTGTGCCAAGTTTACCTCAGTCTTGTCCATGTTCTTTGACATTGACTGCAGGCTTTCTGGTGGATGTCCTATTGCAGCGAACGTTTCATTGTGTATATTTGTCAACTCTCTTCTTCCTGCTACCCCATCTGAGCTCTCTGTAGTGGAACTCATGTGCAACATTATCGCCACTGAGTCGGCACTTCTGTTGACTTTATCTGTCTGACCATGTATGGACACTACCCTATCATTTTGTACTAGTGTCAGTATCTGAGCTGGTGGCTGAGGTATGAAAATGAGTGCTTTCATTCTTGTTGCTTGACCACTGTCTGGCCAGGTTGCATCTTTTGGGTATCTGAGAGGAGAAATGCACAAGGTTAAAGTTGCAGTGTAGGGATGGTTAAAAAGTAGGAGGTGGGTTTGTAAACATTGTTTGTAAGTCAGAAGAGATTGTGGGATGACGGGCAAGTGGAGTGTGCATAGGTGGATTGTGTGAGAATACTGCCATCATTGATTGATTGTTTTAGCCCTGTCCCTGGTTACAGCCTTAGAAAAGGATGTTTTGCCACCTCCACCCCAGGTACTGGGCATTCAGGCATGAGTGCCCCCTCTGGTTAGCCCTGCTGTCACTGGTTGTGTGCTACCTTGCCCTGCAAAAGAAGCAGGGGGAGTGTCAGTGAATTTTATGCAATCTATTTGGCTGAAGTGACAGAAGTGAATGAATTGTTGGCAGAGTGTGCAGCTGTGACAAGTGGAAATAATTCACAAGATTGATTCCTTTGATGAAAGGGAAACGTTGAGTAGGTTGGGCTTATTTCCATTTGACTTTACAAGAATGAGAGCTGAATGCTGACAGAAATAGAATTCTGAGGGACCTTGACAGGATGGATGCCAAGAGGATGTTTCTCCTCATGGGGGAAACTAGAAGCAGGGGTCACAGTTTCAAATAAAGAGTTCCCACTTAAAACAGGAGTGAAGGGCAATTTATTCTCTCGGAGGCTCGTTAATCAATTGAATTCCCTATCCCAGAAAGCAGTGGTGGCTGGACCACTGAGGGCTAAATTAGTTACACTTTTGATCTATGAAGGAGTCAAAGGTAATGGGATAGAAGTAGGAATGTATAAATGAAGCCACAATCTGATCTGCCAAGCTCTTACTGAAATGACAGAGCAGGGGCAATGGGCTGAATGGCCTACTCCAACTCCTCTTTTTCTTATATCCTAATGAATATCAGTTAGGAGTTATAATTGTAGGGATTGTTGGGAGGTGAATGCTTATGTATTGAGCAAAGCTGGTGGTGCGATCGAAGATCCTTCCACTGAGCCTAAGTGCTTGTGGGAGGTCATGCAGCACAAAATCCAGAGCTCCAGTGCCGATATTCAGCTTCACTAATTTCTGCTGCAGCTGCCTCTGAGCTTGGTCCCCCATCTCTTCCTCTCTCCACTTCCTCTATTGGGACCTCCAGTGCAGCATCCAAAAAAAAAGAACCCCCTGCAGCGCACTCTCTCCCATGTTGTGCCATTGTTGAGTCTCCACAGAATCCGATTCAATTCCTCCATGATTCCCGGCACCTGCTCCAGCTGCGACGCAGGGTAACAGGTTGGAAAACTGGTGCCAGCCATTCGCGGTACTGGCACCTCCTGTTCAGGCCTCCAGCACTGTTAGCTCTAGCTGCCTCACAGAAATGAGCAGGCAGTACCAATCAGTGTGCTATCAGTACTGCAGTCAACAGGCCACACAATACCACCCACATGCCTGGGGCTGGGGACGACTGAACTTGGACAGAACTCTCAACCCAGGTGTGTTTAAAGGTCCTATCTTCTTTCTTATGTCTCTATACCCTTTCACATGCCTTTCACAACGCCTTTACGTCTAAGCAGGTACCTGCTTGAGGGGGCACTCATGCCTGAATGCCCAGTCCCTGCGGTGGAGGTGGCAAAACATCCTTTTCTATATTGTGGTCACTTTGCACCGACCCCCCCTCAAACCCCCACCTCCCAACTTGGAAAAACACAGTTTCTCAAGAAGCCGCCAGCAGGGGCCTGAAGTAATCTTTAGACGTAAGAGTAAACGGTGAAAAAAACCCTAGGAGGACGGCTTTGAGGTGGGATATTTCTGTCCTTTTTAAGACTTCTGACTATTGTCTGCCGCCGACCCCTCTCTGACACAAAGCACAAAACAACACGAGTATTTGCCGCCTGATTTTGTGAGCCGCCGGGACAGTAAGAGTGGTGGTGATTCCACGGGGTGGTGGGGGGGGAATGCTGCTTACCGTTCTTGCAGACCGGGCAGCACTGCTCGGGTTCGTACACCGGGTTGACGCACTCGGGGACGGCACAATCGGCGACAACACAATGCACCTCACTGCTGGCCTCACACCGGCACCACTCGCACGGAGACGGCTGTAATAACCACACAGGTTTGACTCAATAGTGCAGACAGCAAGCTTGAGCTCAGTACAAACTGGCTTCGAGCCTGACCTGGGTCAGACCTTCAACCAGACTGCACAGTTGACAACAATAACAACCCCATCCGAAACAAGTAACCAGCAGTCACTTCAGCGAAGGCACTTTGGAACAGGAGTGAATGGAGCTCTCCTGACTCTCTGTTCAACTGGAAGCTGATTCATCGCGCGGGTTTAATCTGGCTAATGCCGTGATGGAGCTTTAAAGAGAATCGATAAATCTGCCGCGTTTCCTGTTCGTGACAATTTAATTCGGGGAACGTTGCGGTTTTAACCCCCCCCCCCCCCCCCCCGCCGAAAATTAAAAGAGATTAACTGGGCTTTCAAGTGAGTGCTGTCTACCTGGGTCACCCCAACATACAGCTCCGCGCTCAAAGAAACCTTACCGGGGCATCAGATGCCCCCCTCATCATTTTTGCAATGGAAGCATTTGCAAGCCAGTGTCTGGCTGTGGAAACAGCCCCGGGTTCCAGTCCAAGGTGCGGTACTGACTGTTAACTGGTGGGTGCAGTTACGCCTACCTTAAATTCTTCCAGCACTTTGTAGGTTTTCGCGCGGTATTCACAAAAGTTTCTCACTTCTTTGCATTCGGGGCAGCAGCCGTTGTGTTCGACCTTGCTGCACTTGGGGTGGATTTTGGGACACTCGGGCTGGTCACACACAGGCCCGTCCTCCGTGCAAACGCACGGGCAGTTCGAGTGGCCGGGGAAGAAACGCTCGCCCAGTTTGTACACAAAGCCGCTGTCGTCCACGCAGCCTTTGCCCCGGTAGTCGTCGAAGTCCATGTTGTCGCCGTTGCCCGCCTCCAGGGTGTTGTCAGCTCCCAGGTGGTCCTCCTGGTTGGCGACAGCCGGGGGGAGGAGGCTAGGGGTCATCAGCAGGAGAACGCAGGCTGCATGCAGTCCAGGAGCCATCCTGCACGGGTTCCTTGGCTCGGCCACCAGCTCCTGCCCTGCACTGGGTTGCAGCCGCCCATAAAAAGCTGCAAAACACATGGTACAAGAACAGGTTTAAAGAAATATTTGCAATGTTGCATACACCTCTCACTACACCGCCTGACGGCCGCTGGAGCACTTCTGTAGGAATTGTAGAAGATGCCAGCCAATTGATTGCATAGCATGTGATAATCAATGTTCTTTAAGGAAAATAAAAAAAGCAAATCATTTCAGGACCCCGGCAGAAATCTCCCTATTCTTTTTTCCCCAAATAGTGCTGTCTTTTCTGACAGAGGAAATGGGTAGTGTAGCACACCCTCAGCACTGCAACGGGAGCATTCCCCTGCGACGGGACTTGAACCCGCGACCCTGGCAACTTAGGGTAAGGAAGGGCTGCCCACTCAACACGGCTGTCACCACAGGATCTGCATGTCAGGCACACGGCCAGGTGGGGCACGGAGAAACTGCACAAACTTTACACCCGGGGTGGAAATTTATATATATATAAGAAACGGGAACTCATTCTGCAGATCTCACGGTGCAATACGACAAACATGTCAAACTTCTTGAAAGGAAAACGAACCTGTGTGTTGGAGGGGGGTGGGGGTGGGGCGAGGAGCTGCAAAAAACACCCCTTGCGCTGAACATAAGTCTCGTTCTCTTCGGGAATGCCGATGACCTTCCAGTTACAGTGTTAACGGCACAGTCCAAATCACTGTCTGATTGATACCGTTTTCGACAATGTTAATTACACCCAAAGATGGCGAGTGAATAAAGACAAGGTCACTGGGCTAGTGTGTGTGTGTGTGTGTGTGTGTTGGGAAGGTTGGGGGAGGGGTTTATATATTTTTGATCAGCTTGTCGGAATTGACCCTCTATATTCAAAGGTTGCATTGCACAGGATTGGGAGGTTAATTTTTTTTATATAAAAAATGACACCAGTTGCAGGCATGTCGCATTGTCTTCCTGCAACTTCGTGCGGTATATACAGCAACTGGGAAGGGTGATTAGTTAATGCCATCCCACACAGGCCGGGCTGCAGCTTGCGGGTCAGTTACAGCCACAGTGTGCAGGATGGAAAACACACAGCTCGGTTACCTGTGGTCGCTTGCTGATGATTTGTGGCCAGTTTACGCAGCGCGCATCTTCAATGAAGACGAAAGAGTCGCTGGACGGGAGCTGGCGAGGTCACACATGGTCTCCAAATCGCCTCAAGGTCTCCCCCTTTACTCAGTCCGCCGTCGTCCTTCCCCAGCGACGCCGCCAAAGAGTAAAGTTGGCCCCCTTTTAAAGACTGAATGCCAGGAGACGTTCTGTGCCGGGCCAGCCCACCTTGTGGAGACGGGCTGCTGCCAGTGTGTCCAATGCGGTGCAGGATCCCACCGGAGAACCTAACAGCTCCTGCATGTTCGCGCCGCGCTCCCGATGGCCTCTGGCTGCACCAGCTGGGACTGTTCGGCCCTGGCGGGCATCACCTCACCACAACAAACCAGGCGCTTTCAGCACCAAGGAGAGCGCTCGAAGACCCAAAGCGTTTCCCCCCACTCTGTGCGTGTGTGTGTGTGTGTTGCTCTCGGTCCTCGCCCTGACGCACCGCTACCTCGATCTTTAATGCCCACACCACAGCAGAGACAAGGCGGGGGTGCTCCAAATGGATGCCCTGTTAAAGAGACCGGGCAATCACCCCTAAACTCAGGCGAGGCTAATGTAGGTCCAACCAATTGAAGCTCGTCACCGGATCTCCGAAATTGTCCGGCTTTTTGTCACTGCAGTCCCTCTATATTGGTCCTATCCTCCTGACCCGCAGTGGTCTCCTGCTCTCTCCGACCATCTCCCTATCTCGGCTCGGCTCTGCTTGCTTTGCTGGCAGTAACTCTGATTTATCCAGTCGACTCGAGGTCATGTTGCTTGCTCGGCTAAGAGTCCTCTAAGAGGCACTCTGGCTGAGAGCTTTCCGGGCATGCAGTACGTCCGCGCTGTCATTAGGCGTCATTATCAAACAACATATCTCGATCAAACACAGCAGAGGACCACTAGGATATCCCGCCCCCTCTTACCTTGTGCAAAACGCGTGCAGGTCAGGGTCACTGTACATACAGTAGTGTAACACACACACACGATAGCAAAAACAACATGCTGCAGGTGCTGGAGATCCGAATTCTTTTAAAATAAGAAGTGCTGGAGAAACTCAGCAGGTCTATGGTGCCAGCAAAAGAGTTAAAAGTTTCGAGTCCAATGTGACTCTTCTTCGGAGAGAATATCAACACTTATTACAATGTAGACTCTTCACCGATGGGGACAATTCCACTTGGGGGACATCATTGTATCTTTCAACCCAGTCGGGAAAAAAAAAACAAGTCAATTAGCCTCATTGTCCACGCTCTGTCCCAATGACCCTGTAATTTTCTTCCCATCAATTCTTTATCCAATTCCCTCTAAAAGTCACCGTTGAATCTGCTTCCACTACATTTCAGGCAGTATTATACGACTTGATCAGTATTACTTACCTATGGCTAGGCAGCAGAGCAGCAAGGCAGAAACTATGTTATTGAGCTGTTTGAATTGTGGAATGAGTAAAACCGATAGGCGTCTCTGATATTTAGATGAACACCATCTACACCAATTAGATACAAACACTATAAACACCCAATGTCTTTCAAATGCACTAATTTATTAATTGACAAATGGTGAGCAAAGTTGATTATTACACTCTGTATTACACAGTTTAGAAGGGCTCTCCACTACATTATCTAATTTTTCCACAAAATAGTTGATTCATACATAAGAGCCAAAGGCACATCTTAAACTAATCAAAAGGATTTGGATATTATAACTATTGTTTCATGTCCAGAGGCGGATGGTACCATCAGAGCCTCCTGATACCACATATTCACCTTTGTGGTCAAATAGCACACACTGCACAGCGTCTTCATGTCCTGATAGACTGTACAACTGACCTGAGGGCAGATCCAATATCTTCACAGTCCCATCATTGCTGGCCATGACCACCAGTTGACCTGGGAGCAACAAAAAAGAAAAACTTGAAAAATGTAGAACCATGAACTAAATAAAGGTGGCATCACTTTTATTGAACATCAGAGCAATACGATGGTATTATTAATAAGACATACTCATGTCCACCTAGAAACCATCACTTAACACCTGGGTTTTTTGGAAAAAACAATGCAGATACCTGCCGACTAAATACAGCTATGCAGTTTCTCGCAAAAAGCTCATTAAATCATTTGTAATAATATATACCCATTAAAAGGTCATATGGTGTCAAGAGTACCCTGCTGTGGAAATCACATCAACAGCTTGGATGTTTTAACTTTAGTTTCTTATTGCTAATATGATAAAAATCAGCAGGGACCTGAATTAATGAACTTGAATTAATGAATTTGCAGTGTTTGGGCAGTATACTCTGCATCATAAGGTGGGTACTATACTTTGGTGTGGAGTGCACCAATAAAGTGCAGCAAAAACAAAATCCCACTTCTTTCTGGATAGTGACAAGTGCATGCCCTTCAGGAAAATAGTGAAAGGCCCTAAAGAGAGTACAGAACATATTTACTCAAATAGTGCCAGGAATGCAGGGCTTCAGTTACATGGAGGGATTAGAATAGCCAGGGTAGTTCCCCTGAGGCAATGGGAGGTTCTGTGGAACTTTAACAGAGGTGCTCAAAATCACAAGAAATTTGATAGATTAAATAAGGAGAAACTATTTCTGCTGGCAGATTTAAACAGAGACAGTACATAGTAAAAGTTAAATGAGGAGAAACAATTTTAGACAGTGAGTTGTTGTGATCTGGAATGCACTGCCAGAAAGGATGTTGGAAGCAGTACCAATAGTAACTTTCAACAAGGAATTGGATAAAGACTAGACGAGGAAAACATTTCAAGGTTATGGGGAAAAGCAGGGGAGCAAGAACTGATTCAGTGGCTCTTTCAAAAAGCTAGCACAGGTAGAATGGAAAAAAATGGCCTATTCTCAGTTGTATAATTTTATTATTCTTCAAGAAACCTCCATGATAACTGTGAGGCCTTGGAGCCTGCATTCAAAACTAATCTAAAAAAAAGTTAAAATACATGGGGAGGTTGTTTAAAACTTCCATAAGCATGGATTAATGACACAATTTAATAGAGAGAAACTATTTTATATTGTGAAATAGTCCAGAATAAATCAGGATAATTTTAAGATTAGAGGTACACATTTAAAAGTGATGGCATGGAAACATTTCTTCATGGAGAAGTGGACACTGGTGTAGTGAGGATAGCGCTGGACGTATACTTCCTAAATTCCAATTATTGCTCTTGGAACGTGAATTCAAGTCTCATCATGTAAGCCAGTGGAATTTAAATTTTAATAATTATCATACTCTAAATTAAATAAACTCATCTCAGTGATAATGACCATGTTTGTTTTGCATCTCCACATGCATATTTTTACCTTTAGAAATGCTGGGCATGTGCCAGGTCAACTAGTGAGGTGGTGATGGAATCGCATCATGAATGCTCTTTCTGTGGGCAACAAGTCCTGCAGTGAGTCTTCAACGCAGAGCTTTTGACTGAGAAATGCAGCATGACCTCCTGAGTCATAAGACCTCCAAAATGGTGACCATGAAACTACCAAGTAATCTAGAATTGGCTCCCTAAAATAGCTGACGAGGCTGGGGCTCACTCAAAAAATTTCAAAACTAAGATTGATAGATTTATGTTAGGTAAGGGTTTTACAGGATAGGAACTAAAGCAGATGAATAAATTCAAGAAAGAAATCAATTTGGTTAGGTTTGTTAAGAAAGAATGCAACGTAGAGTCAACTAACTCATAATGATGCAAAACAAAGAAATCTCTTTTGCTCACACATTTTGTTTTTTTTTGCAGTTTTAGCGAACTGGTTCTCAACTAGCAATGGAGGTAACATATTATCATTGTGCAGAATATACAAATGATATTATAAATCCACCAACTTTACACTAATTAATAATACCCCATCTACTACTAATCTTTTTAATGACTATATTTGAGATTAATAGCTGAAATCCTTTTCGATATTGTTTAGGTCCCTTTGGCGGAGAATGAATCTTTTGGCCTAGAATTCAGCAGGCTGATGTTCCTTTGCTTATGAACTAAATGTTATAATAATAAGCCGCATGTAATAAAAAAATCAATAAATTCATTTTAAGCCACAATCTGGGCATCTATATACATAAATAAGGCTGTTGGTGTGGGCTGGAATGTATTACAACTCATAACCCAAACCTATTTGAGCAGTAATGTGCCTGACATTTTACTTTTGGTTGAGTTGCTATGTACTGTGATGACACAAATTAAGCAATACAAATAATAATCTGGAAACAGATTTAAAATATCAAAGGCATTTGAGACAGCCAGAAAGACTGTGAGCCCTGACTGACCTTCTCTAAGTAAATGTGACCAGGAAATTGTCCTGTTGCTCTGTTGAAGCTGTATTGCTCATTGTGACTTTGGCTGCATAAAACATAAGGTTTGGAAGGGAGTGGGATGTACACTTAAACTTTAATCAGTCCCCGCCCCTTTATCAATAGACAGCATATTTGTGACAGTCAGAGAGTTACCTGAACGTACATACGTAAAAGATTTATTCAATAATTGCTGTGAATGTTCTAGCGCTTTTGCAGAGGTGTATTTTGCTGTCTGCAGTTAAGTGTGATAAATTTGCACTGTTTACCAGCTTTTAATAACTAGCTAGCTTCTTCAGCCAAAACAAAGCCTGACACAGCACCTGCTACTGGATAGATGGGGGTGTCCAATGCAGCAGGTGCCAGTGTTTATTATGGATCCTGGTGAAGACTGAAATCTGCTGAATGTATCACATTGGGTTTCTGGACACTTCTTGTGCTTGCTACCAACCAGTCTGAAGAACAAATACAGTTCCACCATTCCAAAAGCAAAACCACACCATTAACTTCAAACAAATGTTCCCCTGGACCAAACATAGGGTTCACATCTGTACTCGAGGACTGAATGTGTAGCAATGTAGAACATTTTGTAAAAGTAACAGATATGAAAATCACTGCACTCCACTGTGAGGCAATGAGTCTGTTCATATACCTCCCAAGTGCGGGTTGACAATATAGTTTCATTCTAAGCAGCCATGCTATGGAAGAGGAATTGATCTCAACTGAAAAGTGATCTTACCCCCCACAACTGTTTTTTAAAATTTGGTCTTGGAATGTGGGCACCGCTGGCTGGACAGCATTTATTGCCTGTCCCTAGTTGTCCTTAAGAAGGTGGTGGTGAGCTGCCTCTTGAATCACAAGTGGAAGTGGTTGTGGGTTTGGAAGGTGCTGTCTGAGAATCTTTGGTGAATTTCTGCAGTGCATTTTGTAGATAGTACACACTGCTGCTACTCAGCATCAGTGGTGGAGGGAGTGGATCCTTGAGGATGTGGTGCCAATCAAGCGGGCTGCTTTGTCCTACATTGTGTCAAGCTTCTTGAGTGTTGCTGGAGCCGCACCCATCCAGGCAAGTGAATGAATGAATGAATGATTTATTTATTGTCATATATATCTTAAAAATACAGTGAAAAGTGTTTTGGCACCACAATCTGGAGCCATTTTGAGTTACAACGAGGATAGAAAGAATTACTTCTGTCTTAAGCACAGCTTCAGGGCTTCTGCACAGTCTCTGCAAGCTGTTCCAGTCCTCAAGGAGACACGATGATGCTGACGCCCCAGAAGACACTGCCAAGAGCCCAGGCTCCGGGCCTACTGCCGCCAGGAGTCCAGGCTCTGGGCCTACTGCTGCCGACAGTCCAGGCTCTGGGCACCGTTGCCCTCCAGGAGTCCTGGTCCATGCTGCCAATGCTGCAGCCACTGCCCTGCAGATACCACTCTGGCCTTGAAGATGAAGAAGAAATGAAGAAGAAAAGAAAAAGGCAAAAAATACACAAAGTTGTGTTTGAGGATCCATTTCACTAATATTCAATACCTGATTGAGAATCTTATTCCTGTTGTTCAATAACTATATATGCAGCCACATGGTCCTAGATGTTATGGTCCAGGTACTTAAATTCAATTCATTAGTGTATGACAGGCTTTTATAGCTCAAACTTCAAAGGTGATTGATTTTATAAAGTGATAATCCAGATTACATGGGACACTGACACACATGACCTGCACATGTCAAAGGAAAATTTGTTGATAGCTTGGGCCCTAAAAGATAATAAAGTGAACAGGTTGGAATCTACTCTCTGCATTGCAAAAGTTCCCATCTTTTTATTCCTTTGATTTTACACTTGCTCTGGGCCTATTTGAACCAAAGGAAGTCGGAAAGCATTTGGACCTATTGACCTGATACCATGCCAACCTCTTAATTGAGGAAATCATTGTGTACAGTAGGTAGCTGCTCAATCCTTCAACCCTTCTGAGATATTTCTTCAATTTCCCACATTCATACAACGACTACACTTCAAATGTAGTTCATTGACTGAAAGGAGCTTTTGGAATGTCCTGAGGTCATGAAAGGCACTAGATCAATGCTACTCATTCCTTCTCATATCAGAAGACTGTAAGAAATTGAACTGCCCTTGGAAAGATCACCAATTAAATCCTGTTAATCTGTAGCAGGCCCTGTGAGCTTTAGATCCACTTTCAGAATATTTGGGACAAATATCCCTGATAAAGCATGGCCAAAAAAAATAGTGACAGTCACCTGGGTGTGAGAAATGACAGACAAAGGAAAGTATACAAAATTAATTGAACACTATAGCACTAGGTCTATCTCGCTCCAGTCTTTAATTCAGCAGCCTGCCAAAGCTGACACATGCAAAGAACAGCCTGGTCAGGATTTTTCACACAGTCATTTGTCTCTGCCAAGGACATAATTTTAAGCACATGTCTTTGTGTAGACTTTTCTGGGCCTCATAAGATGAAACCTCAAAGTCACATACGTAAAACAAACTGTTTGTAAGAAGGCAGTAAAATTCCCATACAAGAGAAAGGTAAAGGATGACCTCATTGCCTGGGTGCTCGAA